GGAAGAGAATTAGTCCTGAGTTCATTCTAGCAATAGAAAATACCCACTGATAGATGAACTAAAAATCCATTACTGTTTCAAATGGGAAAGAAAAATACTCAAAAGGAAAATCTTTCAAATTAGTATGGGAATTATTAGCAAATAAATATTTTTTCTTTAAATTTTTTATTGTGAAAAAGTTCAAACATACATAAAATAGACAGGCTGGTATGGCCAGCTCTCATATACGCATGCCCAGCTTTTACTTTTGTTAACATCTGTTTCTCTACCCGACTCACCCTACTACTCCATAGTGATGAAGATAATGATTTTTAAAAAATCATATTTAGTTTTGCCTTTGTGTAGGGGGGTGATTTACTCTATTTTGTATATGTATGTATGTGTGTTTCCTAAGAGCTTTGCAAATAAGCTTTTTACTGTAACTTTTTCAGAATTAATATGACATGTTAATGATTATTAGATCTCATCTATCTTTGGGGTACATGAAATCTTTCCAAGAGATACACAGGCAGATATATTTTATTGACTTTAGTTAAATGCCATTTCCGGGATAGATAATATGAACAAACAATAATCAAATGCTTTTACATTTAAATGGGGAAGTTTTGGGGAGAAACATTCTTCAGTCAATGCAATTATTCAATACAGGCATACCTCAGAGATATTGTAGATCACCTAACTGAAGTGAAGATTGCAAAAAGGAAAATCATACAAATTTTTTTTGTTAACCAATGCATATAAAAGCTGTGTTTATACTATATTAAGTGTGCAGTATATTGCATCTAAAAATGTAAATACCTTAAGTGAAAAATATTTTATAGCTAAGAAATGCTAAGGATCATCCGAGCCTTCAGTGAGTCCTAATCTTTTTGCTGGTGGAAGGTCTTGTCTTGATGTTGATGACTACTGACTGATCATGGTGGTGGTTGCTAAAGGTAGTGGTTGCTGAAGGTGGTGGTTGCTGAAAGTTGCTGTGGCAATTTCTTAAAATAAGACAACAGTGAAGTTTGCCACATCAGTTGACTCTTCCTTTATGAAAGATTTCTCTGTAGCATGCAATGCTATTTGACAGCATTTTACTCAAAGTAGAACTTCTTTCAAAATTGGAGTAAATGCTCCCAAATCCTGCTAATGCTTTATGAACTAAGTTTATGGAATATTCTAAATCCTTTGTTGTATTTCAATGATAATCAGAGCATCTTTAACAGAAGTAGTTTTCATCTCAAGAAACCACTTTCTTTGTTCACCCATGAGAAGCAACTCCTCATCCGTTCAAGTTTTATCATGAGATTGCAGCAACTCAGTCATATCTTCAGGCTCTACTTTTATTTCTGGTTCTCTTGATATTTCCATCACATGTGCAGTTACTTACTCCACTTGGATCCCCTTCAGTCATGCATGAGGATTGGAATCAACTTCATTAAACTCCCATTAATGTTGATATTTCGACCTCCTTCCATGATAACGAATGTTCTTAATGACATTTAGAATAGTGAATCTTTTCCAGGAGATTTTCAGTTTATTTTATCCAGAGCCATCAGATAATCACTATTATTGCAGCTATAGCTTTATGAACTGTGTTTCTTAAATAGTAAGACTTGAAACTTGAAATTACTCCTTGATCCATGGGCTGCAGAATGATGTTGTGTTAACAGACATGAAAGCATTATGCTCCTTGTATGTCTCCATCAGAGGTCTTGGGTGACCAGGCATACTGTTAGTCAACAGTAATGTTTTGAAAGAAATATTTTATTTTCTAGCTGGTCATGGCGGCTCACACCTGTAATCTCAGCACTTTGGGAGGTTGAGCTAAGAGGATTGCTTGAGCCCAGGAGTTTAAGACCAGCCTGCGGAATATAGTGATACTTCCATCTCTATCAAAAAAACAACAACTTTGAGCCATAGGTTTCAACAGTGGGCTTAAAATATTCAGTAAACAATGTGGTAAACAGATGTGGTCTCATCCAGGCTTTATTATAAGCACAGGCAGGGTAGATTTAGCATAATTTTTAAGGACTCTAGGATTTTTGGAATGATGACTGAGCATTGGCTTCAACTTAAGGTTACCCGCTGCCTTAGACCCTAACAAGTCAGGCTGTCCTCTGAAACCAGACTTAACTTTTCCTCTTTGACTATGAAAGTCATAGATGTCATCTTTCAATAAAAGGCTGTTTTGTCTACATTTAAAATCTGTTGTTGGTGTAGTCACCTTCATCACTTCAGTTAGGTAGGTCTTCTGGATAGCTTGCTGCACCTTCTGCATCAGCCCTTGCCATTGTTTCACCTTGTACTTTTGTGTTATAGAGATGGCTTCAGTGAATCAACCTCTGCTAGCTGCAAACCCTTTTCTGCAGCTTCCTCACCTCCCTCAGCCTTCATAGAATTGAAGAGATTTAGGGTCTTGTTCAGAATTAGGCTTTGGCTTAAGGGAATGTTGTAGCTAGTTTTACTTATTTATTTTTTATTCAGACCACACAAACTTTCTCCATATTAGCAGTTACGCTGTTTTGCTTTCCATCATTCATGTGTTCACTGAAGTAGCTTTTTAAACTGCCTTCAAGAACTTCAAGAAATGCAGAGGAAACTTTGCATTTACAACTTGGCTGTTTGGTGCAAGAGTCTCAACTTTTGGTCTATTGCAGCTTTCAGCATGCCTTTCTTACTAAGCTTAATAATAATCATTTCTGACTTTTTAAGTGAGAGATGTGCAACTCTTCCTTTCACTTGAACATTTAGAGGTCATTGTAGGGTTATTAATTGGCGTGTTTTCATTCAATATTGTTGTGTCTCAGGGAATAGGGAGGCTCAAGGAGAGGGAGAGAGACAGGAGTGGACAATTAGTGAAGCAGTCAGAACATACACAACATTTATAGGTTAAGTTTCCCTTCTTACATGGACATGGCTTGTGGCACCCCAAAACAAGTGTAATAGTAAGAGCAAAAATGACTGATCACAGATGTCTTATATCATCTGACATATAATAATAATTACCAAAATTTGACACACAGACACACAATTAGCACAAACTTGAAAAAATGGTACCAGTAGACTTACTTGATGCAGGGTTACCACAAACCTTCAATTTTTAAAAACATGAAGTATCTGTGAAACACAATAAAGTGAAGCTCAATAAAATGAGTTATGCCTGTATTTTGTTTTGCTCTATTTACATAATCTGCCTAGAGCATTTTGAGTACTTTACCCAAAATGTTATACTGTATAATGATAGACATTGGTAAATACCAGTTATTTCTTAAAAACAATGTAAAAGCAAAATTTAATCGTGCTTTAATTAGTAAGTCACAAAACAGACCAGTTATGTGACCATAGTCTAGAGTTGAATGGTTTTTATTTTTGTATATTAAACATGACAGCCCAATGAAGAAAACTTGTATAAGTTTTATAGGGTACAGTTTAGGTCACAGAATGAAAGTTCAATGTAACTTGTTTATTTTACATTGATTGATTAACCAGTAATTGTCCATATGACATCCCAATGCAAATGCTGACATCCGTTTCCAAAAGAGTTGTTTTTTTTGTGCTTTTTCTAAGGTTACGAAGGTTTTTGTGGTTTAAATGTTGTTACATATTTTACAGCATTAGGATCTATGGAATATTTTGACAACTGCAACAGTTCAATGAAGTTGGTAATTTCTTCTTTTAATTATTTTTCATTGAACAGCTTTGGAGTTACATTTCTACATTTTGATTTCTGGTATATTATAAGGAAAGAAAAAATTATGTCAAAGGGTACTTTAGAGAAAATACATAGATAGTGATTACAATATGGCTGTTACTAAATTATGCTTAATCTTGTTGAAGTTTTGTTAATGCCTAATTTTGATGAAATAGTACGGTGTTCCTTCCAGCTACTGATTGTATATATGTGATTGCACATCTTTCTTAAATAAGTTGATTTGTAGGTTTTCACATATTGTCAGCCACACTCTAATCCTCTTATAAAGAATGAACCTGGCTTTATTCAATTAAATAATTCTCTGGTACAGGTTTTCCTTCCATAATATTTTAAAGTATAATGTTTTGGATTTTTTTGAGGGTAAAGTGAAAAAAAAATGTTTTAAAAACTTTAGTTGTCAAATTATTTTATTTTAAGCCTCTTTTAGAAATTAGAGATGTATTGTTTCTTTTGGGTGCATATCACCAATTAATACGTTTGATTTCAGATCTACAACTTACTGCTTTCTAAACTTCGCCGAGGTAAAATGAAACCATTTGGCTACTTGAACTGATCTACGTTACATAGGTTTTTCCTATTGACATTTGCAATAGATAACATGTCAGAAATGAAAGTGATGAAACAATACATCTTCCATACTCTGAATTGGCATAATACTAAATACAATAGAAGCTAATTTTTTAAAGACTGTGAAATATAATTTTTTTTAGTTCAAGTATTATTATAATGAGTGAGAGCTACTAAGAGTAGAGCTTTCTCTACGGTGGTAAAATGTAACCAGAATGTATGCATATACTGGAATTATAAAAGATTAGTTTTGCAGCATAACTCATTTTTCTAACTCTAATATTAGTTTAAGGATTTAGTAAAATACAAGTAGATTGTTCTTAACTGAAATCATATTTTATATATACTTAATTCTTTTCAAAGGGTGAAACTTTATTTTAAGTTTTTTAAAATATAAGATTAAATAAATAACACATTTTAGCAAATATGTGCTGTCAAGAAAGATAAGGGAATTCATGGTAACTTGTATTTAAAATTCTGTAACTTTGGGTTGGGTAAAGATATACTTAAAATAAAGCATTCCCTTTGTAATTCTGATGCATTCTCAACATATGGGTATTAAAAAACATGTAAAAAAAAGTAAATATTAAATTACTTTAGAACTATTTCCTAAATTTAAAATTACTAATGCAGTATATTAATTTTAATGGTAGCTGTTTGAAATTTTGATATTAGCCTGAAACTTAACTCTGGTGGTACCTATATTAACGTATTTATGTCTCTTATTTTTTTACAGCAAGGAGTAAATAATGCTGAGAAATTTGACTATGTAAGTGCAACATGTCATTCAGTTTTCATGCCACATTCTCTATATATTTGTTTGATTACTAATATTTCCCAATTTTGGTTTATAGGTCATGCAGTTTTTGAATAAGATGGCGGGTAATGAATATGTTGGATTCAGTAATGCAACGTGAGTGTTTTAAATACTGTTTTGTTACGTAAAGATACAAACACACAGTATATTTAGAATTGATCTGCTCCTTTTATTAGAGGGAAATGAATGATTTCTAAATTACATGACAGAAACACTTAAAAATGCTTTAAATAGTTTTGACAAATTTCTTATAGGTAATTTTACAATCAGAATAGTCCCCAAGTTTATCTCAAATTGCTGGTGCTTATTTAATTTTACCTTTGCTTATAGTACCTGTCTTACCTTTCTTCTATTTCTGTTTCAGGCTAATTTGATTTTTACCCCAATTTTGTACTTTAAAATTTCCAAGTCTACAGAAAACTTGAAGAAATAAATAGCTGGAATCTTTTACTTATATTTTCTAATATTTTTGTCATACTTGCTTTTTCTCAGCCTCTCTCTCTTTTTTCCCAAAACCATTTCTAATTAAGTTGTAGACATCATGATATTTCACCGTTAAATAAGAAAGCATATATAATCTTTTTTTTTTTTTTTTTTTGAGACGGAGTTTCGCTCTTGTTACCCAGGCTGGAGTGCAATGGCGCAATCTCGGCTCATCACAACCTCCGCCTCCTGGGTTCAGGCAATTCTCCTGCCTCAGCCTCCTGAGTAGCTGGGATTACAGGCACGCACCACCATGCCCAGCTGATTTTTTTTTGTATTTTTAGTAGAGACGGGGTTTCACCATGTTGACCAGGATGGTCTCGATCTCTTGACCTCGTGATCCACCCGCCTCGGCCTCCCGAAGTGCTGGGATTACAGGTGTAAGCCACCGCGCCCGGCCAGAAAGCATATATAATCTAAGAATAAGGACATAACCACAATACCATTAACACTTGTATGAATATTAACGTTGATTTTAAAATATCAGGACATTAATCAATATATGAATGTCCCCAACTCTTCCCCAAGTGTCTTTTATAACTTTATTATTATTTTTTGATTCAGGAACAAGTCAAGTTTCTCATATTGTATTTATTACGATGTCTGTTTTGTCTCTTTACTTAGAACAATTCCCATCTCTAGATCCTTGGTTTTAAAAATTTTATTAAATGCCTTTTATTTTTAAAGAGTGCAGGCTGCTTGTTTCATAGACTAGGGCTTGCTGACTTTTTTCTGAAGGACCAGACAGTAAATATTTTAAGCTGTGGGCCATACAGTCTGTGTTGTAACTTCTGACTTCTGCTGTTTAGTAGAAAGCAGCCATAGACAATTTGAGGGCTGTGTTCTAAAAAAAACTGTATAAAAACAGGTAGCAGGCCATTGATTGGATGTTTCCCATTTTGTATTTGTCTGATTGCTTCCTTGTAATGAGAAACATTATTATCTTAAGCATTATTGTAACATTATTAAGCAGTTTTAGCATGTATACTAACTACTATTTTACTCTTATTTTACACTTCCTGCTTCACATTTCAGGGGTAAACATTTTCAGGTTGCCTACCTTCCCAACATTAATTCATCAGCTTAAATATCTTTTCCAGGAAGTATTCCATGAATCTCAACTTGCCTCTTTCCTGTGCTCTTCTATTACCACATTTTATCAACTTATTACATGTCTCTCTTTGCTCCATAACCACCATTAGACTCTGCCCTCCTTAAGACCTAGATAGAATGTTGTGTCTTCCAGTTCATTTCTATATCCCTGTTATCTGGCAGATAATAGGCACCTGAGATAGTGTTGAAGAACTATGTGTCAGGCACTGTGATAATTGCTGACTACTTAGTCCTTTATCTAAAGTATGTTGATGTTTTTTTTAAAAACTATGGCAAACTGATAAGAATTTGAAATGTTAAAATGTACAATTAGAAGGGACCCTCCATCTCAGTGATAGAGCTTTACCCACAGTTCCTCTAATATCAGCAGCCCTTTTAGACTTGTAGGGTAATTCTCAAATATACTGCAAGTTAAATCTGTCTAAATCAAAACTCAATTCTCTTTCTTTCCAAACTGCTTTTTGCTCTAGCGATCCCTGTGTCAGCTAATATTACTATCCTCTCAGGGTATGTTAGAAACTGAGGCTTTATATCAGTCTTTACCCTCCCTGTTTCTCCTTTTTCTCATCAGGTTGGAAAGTTATCCAACTGCTTGAATGTTTGATCATACCCCTCCTTTTATTCCTATCACAGCTGCCTAAATTCAAGCTTTTGTCGCTCTCATTACAGTATTCTCTTAATAGATCAGGCATCACTTCTTTTTCCCCTTTCCCAAACTGATGTCAGAGTTATCTTTCTAAAATGTAGATATGCTTAAGTAACTTGTTTGAAAGCCCTCAGGCTTTTGTTTTGTGGATGGTCAGGAGTTATTACATTATTTGGCATCTATTGGTTTTGATAATTTGGTCCCAGTCTCCTTTGTCGGTTTGATGTTTTGCCACTCTTCTCCATATGCTTTTCCCAGTTATATCAGAATATTTGCCATTCTTCAGTGGATTACTATCTTTATACTTTTATAACTGTTCATGCTGCGTAGAATTTGCCAGTGCCTAGGCTTCCCCCTGAAATCTGTTAGTCCATTGAGTCCTGCAAGTTCCATTTTGTGTTTCCTACTCTTAGTGAAAGTTCCGTGATTATGTCAAGTTCCCTGATTATATCCGTTAAAATGGACTTTTATTGTACTTTTGGGTAGCTACAGGATTCTGTAATTTTTTAGTACATTTTAATGGTAGAATATTTGATAAGTTTAAAGTTAGCATTTTTGTTTACAAAGTATAAAGACTAGAAAGGGCCTGAGTTCATTTTCGTCATTTTACAGTCAAGAAAATGAAGATTGAAAGAATTATCACTTAAACAACTTGTACAAAGCTACTCAAATAGCCTAATGACAGAATTGATTGGAACCCTATAGTACTGAATCTTAGTTCATTGTTCTTTATGCTGTATATTACTATACAAATGAAATTATGAACAATCAGACTTTTACAGAAAGTACATAGAGCAAATGCTTTTTTTTCTTCTTCCAGGTTTCAGTCTGAAAGAGAAAGTGGAGATCGAAATTTTGCAATAGGATATTACTTAAAAGAAAAGAAGGTTTTTAAATTTTTGTTTCTATTTCAAATTATTCTTTTATTTAATTGAATACATGAAGATATACGCTAAGAATTCAACAATAGCCTTTAAGCAACTACCTATTACTACTTAAGGTGCAGAAGTTTTTGCAGGGTGGTCTTCAGTCAGTGATAATAAATTGTTAATGTCATTATTAAATGGATTTGTATCTGGCAGTATTTAAATATTTGACTAATTTTATTTATTAATGTAAATTGTGTTTGAGATTTTGTCCATTTTTTTTCAAAAGCATAATGTCTGATTAGTGTTAACTACCCTTGATTTTTTTTTTTAAGTGGCTGTTCCAGTAACTTGATTTATAAATCATGAATCATTTTATCATTGTCAGTTAAACTAGTATCTAGAAACTTACATGATGCCATCTAATTTTGCTTTATTATTCTTTATTTTGTGTTTATACTCTTTTAAAAGTTACATGCTATTTTATTAATTAAAATGAAACACATGTATACATTTGAAATTTAATTTTCCTGTATTTCTCTTCTTATGTGCATTCCTGTGTGCCTGAATTTTTAATATCCTTTCTAATTTTTTAGTGTTTTCCAGAAGGCACTGACATGGTTGGTATATTAGACTTCTACTTCCAGGTAATTTAATTATATAAATTGTATGTATAAATGGATGTGTCAGCTGGGCTTGGTGGCTCATGCCTATAATTCCAGCACTTTGGGAGGCTGAGGTGGGCGGATCACAAGGTCAATAGATTGAGACCATCCTGGCCAACATGGTGAAACCCTGTCTTTATAAAAATACACTACCCTGTTTTTGTAAAAATGCAAAAATAAGCTGGGTGTGATGGCGCGAACCTGTAATCCCGGCTACTTGGGCGGCTGAGGCAGGAGAATCTCCTGAACCTGGAAGGTGGAGGTTGCAGTGAGCCGAGATTGCGCCACTGCATTCCAGCCTGGCAACAGAGTGATACTCTGCCTGAAAAAAAAATAATAAAATAAATGGATGTGTCACATTATGCAAAATACAGATGTCTCAGAAATCTTGGTTCTAGGCTGTGAGAAAATACATTTTCCATTGACTTTCAAAAATGTCTTCATAAAAGTCAGTCTCATGTCTGTGTTGCCTGAAAATTCATGCCTCAAAATGTAATAGGGAAATTTTTTTCTGAAAACATATTTAAGAATTGTCAAAAATAATGTACACTCCCAGAAATTGGCAATCCTAGTTAAAAACTGAGCTCGAAATTTTTCTTAGCTTTTACATTTTGTTTAGGAAAAGCTATTATTAATTTTTTAATCAGAGAGCTCTTATTCAGCATTTAAAAGTGTGAATGTCTCAGCTGACTTGATATCTTTTGTAATTTCTTTGTTACTACTCTATTCTGGCTTATCTGGTCCCAGTTCATTTCTGCAGTGTCAGATGTTGGGCTTTCTTCTAAGTTAGAGTAGCCCTCAATATTCAGGGGGTAAGATTGGGCGAGAGGGAACAGGCTGCACACAATGGGCTATGCTATAGAGCTTAATTTAGAATAGCCTTCCTGGAGATTTCTTCTCTCACTCACATTTTCAGTTCAATTTATTCTTACATATTTATCACAGTTGGTGCTATTGATGGGACTGTAACGTGAAGCTACATAGTAGGCTACATTATTGCCAATTTCTAGTTCTTGTTACATTTCCCTGTCTTACTTTTAAAGGTTCTTTAATTTTATCCTTTCAGTAATCTTAGAGAATATATAAGGGAGGTTGATGAGTTAGATTTTAATAGATGTCCAGGTTGCAGCTAGTCATCTGCCCAGTGTGAAAAGCCATAAATTGGGAATCCAGATCATCAATATAAAATGTGAGTTCTAGCCCAGCCACTTATTAGCTATGTGACCTAATTAGCTACCGATCCCTAGTTTCCTTATCTGTAGCATATGCCTAACCTACCTTGCTGTATTATGTTGAAGATAACATGAGATGACGTGTGAAATTCCTTTGAAACTATGTCATATCATTGAACTCCAATAGCCTTTATTTTTTCCCTAGTTTGTATGAATTTTTTCCATAAGTTTCTTTTTCTTTAGAATACATATTTAAATTTGGCTGTTATAGCTTAGATGCTGCTAATCTACTATAATGTAAAATTTCTATACTTGATGGCAAAAATTAAGAGACAGCTGTAGAAGTGGTACTGACTGTTTTGGAGAAGGACTGCATCAAATTGAACTGCCATTGAGGTTAGCAGCAGAGTACTCAAGTCGGTATTTTGGCAGATTAAGAGTGTGCTGCCCTGTGACAAACAATTCCAATTAATATTAAGTATAAATTAGAAAATGATTATTGGAATTCAGAAAGCCTTGCATGATCAAATCGACCTTATCATAAGTCTTGCAGTATTCTAAGTCTATTCTGCTGTTTTTGAGAAATAGGGAAGAGATTTTTTTATATAAATAAGCAATCTAGTCAAGTTAAACACACAGTGTTCTAATTCACCATAGTTTTCCTCCTTGCTATTTCCAAATACCTTGTGCCTCTTGTAGATCTTGGAGTATGGCTGAGGAAAATTTACAAGTTGAAAACCCATTCTTCTCCTTTCCACTTTCTTTTTTGACCCCATCTCACCCCATTTGGAAAAATTTATTATTTTCATTTTATGGGAAATTTGGGTTTGGTATGGGGAACTATTTCATTATTTTGATTGTATTTAAATACACAAATTTTATTCTAAAGGGTATATTTAGCACCCATAGTAAATATCATATAAATATTAATAAATGGTCCAAAAGATAACATTTTGGTTTAGGCTTACAGAGCATCTGAGACAGATCTGCTTTATATTTTTCTTCTCCTTTGTCCTTTGCCTGTTACCATATAAATGGGGATACTGAGCTTTGTTATGGGTGAAATGTCAGGCACTTTAGCATTTTCTTCTAAAGTGGTGATTTTTCATGTAGACACTATCATAATCATCATGTATGGTGCTTTATCTTAAAAATATTTCATGGCTCTTTTTTTTCTGTTGTGTTACAATTATGCTTGTGTATTCCACAGAAAGTATTAATATTTAAGAAAATTTGAATATCACATGGAATAATAACAAATCTTAGTGTTTAGGGGCTGGCTATTCCTAGCCTAGTTTTGCCATTAAAAGACTGAATATCTTTGGCCAAATCAGGGTAAACTTTAAAAGGAGGTAGAACTTTGGTCAAATCTTTAGAATGTCATCAAGTTTATATTAAAATAATCTCTTTGGAAGAAATATTTCAGATTTATATGAAATACCAAATAAAATAGATTATCTTAGAGGTAAGCAGTAGTATTAAAAATATGAACCTAAAGTTTTTAGAATTCTGCTTTTTCTTTTTGTTAGCTGTGTTCCATTGAAGTGACTTGTGAATCAGCCAGTGTGATGGCTGCAACACTGGCTAATGGTGGTTTCTGCCCAATTACTGGTGAAAGAGTACTGAGCCCTGAAGCAGTTCGAAATACATTGAGTTTGATGCATTCCTGTGGCATGTATGACTTCTCAGGGCAGTTTGCTTTCCATGTAAGTAATTGTTTAATGTTAATTTTCTCTGACAAGAAACTAGTGTGAACTGGTTCTTTTAAAAGTGCAGTTTGAACTTTGCTTCTAAAGCTGTATATTAATTTTTGAGAGAGAGGATTGTTTTCAAGGTTAATTTGTTACAAGGTTAGTAAGGAATAAGAGCTAAAGTCTACCAAATGTTTTTAAGAACTTGGAAGTTTAATTTATAGAACCTCTTCACTTCTGCTTTTAAGGCATTCCAGTGTACAAGGTTAGTATAGTCTTTCTTTACTTTTAGTTGTTAATGTCTAGCATTATGATGAGTATGTATCTTAAGAATGCTTTAAGTTTAGAAAGATTGCAAAGATGTGATGTTTCACATCTTTGATTACAGCCATAGATTTTTTTTTTTCTTTCTATTTTTTGAGACGGAGTCTCACTCTGTAGCCCAGGCTGGAGTGCAGTGACACAGTCTCAGCTCACTGCAACCTCCCCTTCCCAGGTCCTGGTTCAAGCAATTCTCCTGCCTCAGTCTCCTGAGTAGCTGGGATTACAGGCACTCACCACGGTGCCCAGCTAATTTTTGTATTTTTAGTAGAGGTGGGGTTTCACCATGTTGGCCAGGCTTGTCTTGAACTCCTGACCTCATGATCCTCCTACCACAGCCTCCCAAAGTGCTGGGATTACAGGCCTGAGCCATAGATGTCTTAAGGACTAAAAGTATATTAAAGTTAAAACTTAACAAAAATGTACTGCTTTAAGCTCTGTTGTGCATTTGCCACTTGTAAAGTATATAGACTTCTCTTATTTAATTCTGCTCATGTCAAGTCATAATACCCTTCTAAAAGTTTTTTTTTTTCTTTAAATTTTGGAAATTTTCAAACGTAAAACGAGAGAAAGAGAGAGAGACAGATACATTGAATGTTATCCATCACTCGGCTTCAATAACTGGAAACATTACCAATCTTGTTTCATCTGAATGTGCATGTTTCCCCTATCCTTGTCATAGTTCAGTATGTAATTCTAAATAAGGACCCTTAACAAAACATAATACCATCTTTACATATAAAAAAAACTTAAATATTACATATCAAAACTTTAATATTAACATCACCATTAAATTTAATATCATCAAAATATTTAGTCTGTTCAGATGTCCTGGATTATCTTGTAAATTATTATATTATTTTATAATTTGTTTGACTTGGGATACAAATGAGCATACATTGTGATTGGGTTGTGTCTCCCTTTTTTATTTTAATCTGTTGGTCTTCTTTTGACCTGTCTCTTTTTTTTTTTTTNTTTTTTTTTTTTTTTTTTTATTTTTGGTTGAAAAAACTGGGTCATTTAGTCTATACAGTTTTCCACGGTCTGTATGTTGCTGATTACCTTTGTTCCATTGTCTCTTGTATTTCCTATAAATTTGAAGATCCAATTCAGGTGTTTTTTGTCTGCTTGTTTTGTTTAGTTTTATTAAGAGTACTTTATTGGTATATTTCTATCCAGGGGTGCTTACTGACTGAATGTTAATAAGCAATTAATGAACACTGCCCTAATGACATTAATTTTGTTTTTTATCATTTGTTAAGTTTTGCTAATGTAACTTAAATTTTTTGAGGAAGATTAATTTAAATTACCATTTTAGAAAATCTTTTAATAATATGTAACTTTTTATTTTCTATTTGTAAAGTACTTTTTAAAAATAATTGGTTATATTTTAAAATAATATGTTTATTTTAGAACAATTAGAAAATATAATCAGGAAGAGTAAAAGCATCCATAGCCCCACAATTTAGGTGTAACTGCTATGATTCCTTAGAGTGTATCTTTAAACAATTTTTCTATATTCAAATCTATTCCAAACTGTTTTATAACTTTTTTTTTAATTGAGATGAGTCTCACTCTGTTGCCCAGCCTGGAGTGCAGTAGTGTGATTTTGGCTCACTGCAACCTCTACCTCCTGGGTTCAGGTGATTCTCCTGCCTCAGCCTTCCAAGTAGCTGGGATTACAGGCACCTGCCGCCACACTTGGCTAATTTTTGTATTTTTTGTGGAGACGGGGTTTCGCCATGTTAACCAGGGTGATCTCAAACTCCTGACCTTCGGTGATCTGCCCACCTCTGCCTTCCAGAGTGCTGGGATTACAGGTGTGCACCATCAGGCCCAGCCTTAGAACTTTATTTATAAATATGTTGATAAAAATGTATCTATATTTCTAATGTCTACTGTATGGACATATATTATAATTTTTAATTTTTAAACCAATTTCCCAGTTTGTTTTTTGCTTTGTTTTTTGGGACAGGATCTTACTCTGTCACCCAGGCTGGAGTGTAGTGGTGCAGTCATGGCTCACTGTAGCCTTGACCTCCTGAGGTTATGTGATCCTCCCACTTCAGCCTCCAGAGTAGCTGTGACTACTGGTGTGCACCTCCATGTCAGGTTATTTTTTGTATTTTTGTAGAGATGAGATCTGCCTGTGTTACCCGGCCTAGTCTCCAACTCCTGGAGTTGGAATTGTGATCTGCCTGCCTTAGCCTCCCAAAGTGCTGAGATTACAGGAGTGAGCCATGATACTCAGCCCCAATTTCCTTGTTGTTGAACATAACATTTCTTATTTTAAGATGTTTACCTGAATACTTATTTTACTGAATTATTTTTAGGTCGGTCTTCCTGCAAAATCTGGAGTTGCTGGGGGCATTCTTTTAGTTGTCCCCAATGTTATGGGTATGATGTGCTGGTCTCCTCCTCTGGATAAGATGGGCAACAGTGTTAAGGGAATTCACTTTTGTCACGTAAGCATATTTTCTTAGTGAAAATAATGATATAAGTTGAACCATCCACTGATTCTTTTTTTAACCCATTTTCCGCAGTTCATTAACTCTTGGCCCTCTGCCTACATATAGAGTGCCAGTTACTAGGTAGCCATGGAAATACAGAGGAGCTTCAAGTTGCCTCTGTCAGACAGCTACCATTTAATTATTCCTACAGAAAATTATATTTGTTTGATGCTAATATTTTAATTTTCCTGGTTATAATTAGTATCAATTTTTAAAAGCTCAACAAAAGACGTTAAACTTAGAGAAGTTATTTAAAAGACAATGTATCTTAGGAGTTGTTTTGTTTTATTGTGTGTTTAATCTGCATGGTTGAATATCTTTATCCCTTTATCCATTGACTACCTTTAAGTATTTTTTTTGAGGAAATAAGCACTGAAAATTTTTTTAAAATTAAAAATTTTTTGAAGTGTTACTGCTCTTTATAGTTCTATATTTTGTTGTTACCCAGTTCCTGCTAATGTTTGAGCTTCTGGCCAGAGTTCATATTAAATACCATACTCAATTAAAATTGTTTTATTTTCCAGTCTTTTACAAAAACTAGAGTATGACACTGGATTATATATAAAGTATAACAGATTGTACCAGAGCACTTATTTATATTTTAATGATGCTTTACACTTATTTGATAGACGCTCATGTGGCTGGCTATAAACCCTATTTTGTAGAAGATGAAAGCTAGACAATTTGATTGTCTGAGCCCTAGGATCATGTTAGTAAATAATGTTCTTAAAGCTTGTATCCATATCTTACTCTGATTTTAGTTATCTTCTTGATGCATTATATTGCTTTATTAGCATGCAGTGATGATTTCTAAGCTGGATGATATAAGCATAGTTTGTTAAAATATGAATATACATAACCAATGAATAGCCAGTTGCTTATACCTGTTCTGTGTAACTGTTTACAGGACCTTGTTTCTCTGTGTAATTTCCATAACTATGATAATTTGAGACACTTTGCAAAAAAACTTGATCCTCGAAGAGAAGGTGGTGATCAAAGGGTAAGCAAAATTTCTATTTAGATAATTAAGTAAAATTTTTAAGAGAGAAAAAGTGAGATTTGCTTGTATAAGTGAAATCTTAGTTTGTTAGTGACTTCAGGTCTTTGCTAATCACAAATGAGTGAAATCAAATTGTGACATTTTAATCCAGTATTTAATCACCAGTATTAAATACTTAAATATTACTTAATAAATACTTAATAGATATAGATACTTAAATATTGCTGTTTCATTATTTAAATCGAAACTGGTTAGCCTAGTGTCAGAGTTTTCCCCTCTTGTTTCCACTATCTTAAGCAAGATTTTTAAAANAAAAAAAAAAAAAGACATTGGAACATGCTATAAATCTAATTTAAAAGTTTAAAAGAAAGCATTGCTTTACTCTTAGTATTTGTCAGAGTCCTAAATTGAAGTTCATTTTAACTTCTTGCTTACTGTGTAGATGGATATGTAAAAGGATTATCATATTAGTGAGAGACCATGTGAAGCCTCATAATAAGTTTTATAAGCCACTGAGATGAAATTTTTTTTCCAGAGTGTTTAATGCAATATTCCTAATAATCTTACAGTCCTATTTTGTTGCCAGTGTATTTGGCTTCATACTGTTCTACAGATATATTACTTTTTTAGAAGGATTACTAAGAGACAGGACTTAACTTTTTTGGTCTATATAGTTTTTCACTGTACCGAGGGAATTGTGTTGAGAATTTTGATTCAGTTTCTTTTCGTGCCGTATTGAAAATGTTTGTAGCAAAATTACCTAATTAGGCTTCAAGCTAATATGAAGCACTTGTAAATAGAAAATATTTTTAATACCTCTTAAGTACATTTTCTGTAGCACTAAACTAAATTAACTTCTGTTACTATGTAAGAATTATACAAAGTCAACAGAATACTGAGTCGACCTGAGTAACATGGAGCAAAATGTCAGAGGTGGTGGTTTAAAATGTTAACAGATTTTAATAATGTTCATTGAAAAATACCATTTTATAGCTTGGACCTTTCTTCACTCAAGTGCACTAATAAATTATGTATGTTGCTTGAACAACTAGCATTCCTTTGGACCATTGGACTATGAAAGTCTCCAACAAGAACTTGCTTTAAAAGAGACAGTATGGAAAAAAGTGTCACCTGAGTCAAATGAGGACATCTCTACAACTGTAGTATATAGAATGGAAAGTCTGGGAGAGAAAAGCTAAAGAAATGGGTTCTAGTTTCAGAATGTTTCTTCATTCAATCTTTCAAACATCTTTAGCTTTTTTTTTTTGCAAATTATAAATATTTATTTGAGATATTTTTTTGTTCTCAACCTTCGGTGCTGGAGCCATAAAGCTTTTTTTCCTTTTAATCTTTGTATAAAGATAATACATTAAAAAGTGAATTTGTTGGTCTTTAAAAAAGTATTTACAAGTAAATAAATTTGCTTTAATTTTAAAAATACAAAAAGGAAAAATTCTCTTAAATTTTTCTTGATGTAATTAAAACTTTAACTATGTAGTTAGATAATCCCATTTTACAATAGTAACAGAAAATTGTAATTCTTAGTTCTAAAATTCACACATTAAACTCATAAGTTTTGTTGCATTTTGTTTTTTCTCTTCCATTTTTGAAACTGACATGATGTCTATAGTGGCAATAGAAAGTACTTCTATGCTAAATGCAAAACTAAAAAGACAAAATAACCCCAATTACTTTATTTAAAATAGCAGTGGATTATAAAATTAGCTTACATTTACAATTATGCCACTTTTAGTGATAGATTGGCTTTACATTTTTAAAAATTTATTTAAAATTTTATCAAATGCTTTAAAATATGTCTCCTACCTTTTCTATTTTGCAACTGCTCTGTTTCTGTCAGAATTGTTATATACAGGAATGTCTTATGTTACTAAAACATTCCAGCCAAAGAATTTCAGATGTGAGATAATGATGTTTCATTGATAAAAAGCTATAATGGTTAGTTACTCAGAAGGAGAAACAGTGAGTGTCTTCAAGTGAATTGTTCACCTTAACAATTTTATTTTCATATTATCCACATAACTTTTTCTATGTTATATTTAAATATGAATGGCAAATTATGTTTTTTAGCTTTTAAAATTTTATTATCCTAATAATTTTATAATTGCTAATATTTCTTTTGTGATAAATTATAGCATCTCATGAAGTTTGTTCTATTTGAACTCTTAGAGTACTGGGAAATGAATTTAGTCTGCAGGTAGTAAGTATGCTACTAAAATATGTTAGATCTGAATCCTTTTGTTTGGTAATAAAAATGCAATATTGAGAATCAAAACTTGTTTTTAAGAGAACTAAGGATTTATTCAACCTGATTTCAAATAATTATTCATGGTGTTTAAAGTTGTCTTGGCAAAGTGATTGTAAAATTCTGTAGGACCTATTCACACTTCTTCCTTCTTCCATAGGGGACTACCTCTCTGGTTTTCCCCACAGTTCCCCTACAGTTTCAAGTTTGTTGAAACCTGTTTATTTTTTTCAATTCCTTTTTAAACTTTTTTTGTGGGGGATTAGAAGAAAAACTTGGTGGTTTCTTAGCATGATGGTGTATGTATGTGGTAATGGAAAGTCTGTAAAAGTGAATATAGTGTAGCAAAAAAGATTTCACTGGGTATTTCAGATACTAGTGCAAATATAGAAAATCTTGATCATAAGGTCCTGAATTTGGGAACTATGACATTAAGAAAAGAAGTTCCCTCCCAGAGGTGCTGGCCAAAAGCCTTTTGGGCTAACTTAAGTATTAAACTTATATATTTAAATAATTATATTATTAGTTGTAGAGGATTTTCCCGAAGGTTTTATGCTTACTTGAATGTTCTTTGAATGTTCAGATGCATATCCTAACTGGATGCTTCTCAAGGCCTTACTGCATTTTTGTGTTGTATATTTGTGTTGGTTGCACCAGGGTCATTTGTAGTTTAGGCAATCGAATGCCTTAATTGGAAAAAAGGCATTATGGTTTCCCCTATGTTCTGAATTGTTACATTTTACCATTCCGTTCAGAAGTTGGTTTTACTTTATAAAATGAAGATTTAGTTTTCATATCATGTACATATTTGTATAGATTTCAAAATTAGGTTAATTTGTGGCACTTATTCTTATTGTGTTGGTAATGCTTAAATTTATACTTAAAAATGAAGTACTGTTATCTAAGCTACTGTGTCTAGAAAATGTTAAGAATGAGCATCCAGAAATTTTTATAGAAAATTACAAATGGAAGAAGAGATAAGATATTGTGAATAGGCCCTCACACTTAAAAAAGAAAAAAACTTTGCCAGTTTTAAGGACATATTTTGATTCTTTCAGTATTCTTAACACCTTTTTAAACAAAGTTCTTAAAAGTACCCAGTATTATTGGGTTTAATGTTTTATGCCATTATTGATTCTTGATATTCAAGCATTTACAATATAGCATATTTGATTTTCTTTTTTCTTATTTTTTATTTTTTGGCATCATTAACATTTCATTTGAAATGCATATTATTCCTGAAGTACTTTGTTTTTAGCATAAATGTTGTGCATTTTATCTTAGTGTTTGGATTAAAACATTTGTGTTGTTTAGCTTTCTTTCCTTTGCTTTGTATATTTAATAATGTACCTTTATTTTCCAGTATGCCTGCATTTTGTATTGTACAATAAATTTATTTTAAGCTGATTTTATTGTTTTTTTTTTTTTTTTTTTTTTTTTTTTTTTTTTTTTTTTTTTTTTTTTTTTGGTTTTGTTTTATAAAAGCAACTTCTACATTTTAAGTACAAAAACAGTTGGGATTTTAACTTAGAAAAAATTATCCTTTATGAAGATAATATTAAGGTGTTTGCTATTCTGAAGCTGTCTCAAAGTAAACTAGAAATACTCAAAAGGGCTTTATTTGATATATTTTTTTAATGCAATGTAGCATTAGTGGTTTTTGTGGGAGGAGGACTTTTCCTATTGGTTATACTAGAAGTATTTGAATGAAAACTTTCCCTCAATTTTTTTGGTTGTTTTTCCAACTTAAAAAACATGCAACCCTATTTGTAGGTTATTTCTACTTTCTGAGGAGGAATATTGTTATTCACCATGTAACTCTCATTTTTTTCTGTTGTTGCCTAAAGAATAGGAAAAACATTGCTAAACCAATGAAGAGTATCATAATATTGCTTTAGAATAAAACTGTTAATCATAGAATTTATATTAAACAGAATGACAGTGATACAGAAATTCACCTTAACTGCTTTCTGAGGGCATTACATTTTGAGAAGGAATTTTGTATGTTTCCACGTCATGGTCCAGATTATAGTACAAATTATAGAGACTCCATGTATTGTAAGTCAAATATAGTATTTAAATTTTTCTGTTTATTGAATCTGCCATTCATATTCTGGAGATTTCCTGAATATATTGTAGAAGTTTTAAAATTATTTAAAAGGAGAAAGACTGTTGTTTATATTACTTTGTATTAATCTATGGGATTTTTAAATGAATTTCTTTCAGAATTAGTTAATAAGGAGTTTTAGTATAATGACATATTCAATAGATGTAACAGTTTGTGATCAGTTGCTTTTAAAGATTTTTTAAAAATTTCATATGAAGCAAAGAGAGAGGAGACTTAGAGAGGAGACTTAAAATGCCTGGTGATCTTGATCTGACAGTGTATATTTATTTAATAGGCTATATTTATGTGGAAAGAACTGCTGAAATATACTGATATGTCAGCTTATATCCTGATAACTTATATATAATACATTCCATATGAATGTTTATGTACACACATGTATATCATTTTCTTATCTATGTATCTTAATCTACCCATTCATATTCTGAAAATGAGCAGTTATTTTCACATTGTGTGTTATGTATAAATTATTCATTGATCTATTCCTATTCCAAGTTTTGACACAAAAGAACTCCTGAAATTTTTGCTTCCCTAGAATTTGAAAAGAATAACATACTTCTTCAGTTTGACTTTAAAGATTTGTGGTTTCTGTTACCACTCCCATTCACC